GTCGACATTCCAAAACCAAAATCGACGTTGCTTCTAAAATTGAACTACAACAACGTTTTGAACGCGTGGTCCGATAAGGAATCGCCGTTCTCCGATGAAATTCCGGGATCGGAGGCTGCCGGAAATGATGTCCAAGTAAGTGTCTTTGGAATTCCATGAGCAATTGAAACTTTGATTCTGTTATTTTAGTTAAAAGTGGTAGCATACTAAGATAAACTGCAACATACCTTTGGACCACGACACGTGCATCTCACGCTTTTCTCTTTCTATATTTTCTTAAATGTATATATATATTTTAAAAGTTTTCTGCTTTTTATTTGACTCGTTTTCCTTTATGTGCAATTCATGACATAATATTCAAATTGGTAGTTGGCATCAAAGCGATGTTACAGTCTACTTCTTTCCAGCTTGAAAGTGGGACCTTTTTGACACACTAATGTACTCTTTTACAAAATTAGAAAAGTTCAATATTTTTTCTATTCTTTTTAATAATATTATTATTTTTTTCTATTTCCGTTTTCGAAATAACTACGTCTATGCATCCTTAACATACAACAACACATAATGATTGCTATAGTTTTTTTTATTACTTTTCTTAATATTTTATTCAAGAATATGTTGTTAACGTAATAAATGCTTCCAAAAGAAATAATGACATTGTTTTATTATCAAATTATTTATTACTATTTCAAGTAGGTCATTCTGTCAAGAGCATATTCTATAATATCGAGTGTCTTGTAATTATGTAATTGTTTTCACCCTTTTGTGCTTTCCTTCTTGGTGGCATCTTTCTCTTCTTAGAACTATTTAAAATCAATAAAATTGAAGAATGTATAGGAATATGACATAATTTGTTTCCTTTTTTATTTTTCGAGATTCTGATTTTCTTAAATTAAATTTGTATGCAGGCCAGATTAGCACAAATAGACTTATTTTCAGAGAATGGAGGAATAAGAGAGGCTAGTGTGTTACGTTACAAAGAAAAACGACGCACACGTTTGTTCTCTAAAAAAATTAGATATCAAGTTAGAAAAGTCAACGCTGACCGACGACCCAGAATGAAGGTACCGTTATTATGAAAGGATTTAGCTTAGATACATTGATACGTGAAAGAATTTTTATATTATCAATAAATTTAGCTTGTTTTAGCTGGTTGCTTATCATATTTTTAAGTCAATAATTTTCTTTATTATTTGTAGTTTACCTTTAGTTATTTTCTAGATAGTAATATAAAGAATTTCTTGCATTATCAATATTTAAAAGTTAAACTCATCATGAAAAGAGCAGCTTGAGTTTTATGAAAATGTAATTTGGCCTCTAAATTTTCTAAATTCGGTCTTAATGAGTTTATAGTACTTCAAGTGTTCGATTAATATTTCGTTTTATTTATTTATTTATTTATTATTATTATTATATTTGAAAGGAAGGTTCTCCTTTTTCATTTTCACAAAAGAAAGGAAAATTATTCCTTCCTTTCGCTTCCTTTCCCTTATTTTCAGGCTTATATGATATTAAGAAGGTGTCTATTTGTTTTAATCAGTAAATCATTGTCCCTACAATTTTCTATACATTCTTTTCCGTTTTCTTAATATAATTCAATGAAGGAACAAATGAGCCATATTTCTATTTCTCCAAACATAAGATAAACTTTTCTTTGTTTTGACCACTAACATTAGAAAATGAACTCTTACCTCAATCATTTTGGTAGCAAAGTTAAAATCACATTGTGGAGATCTATAATGTCATATAAAGGCATTTAACTTTAGGGAATGATGTTTTTATTTTCATGATTAACGATAGATATTTGTATTAATAAGGGTTGGGGTGAAATGATAAAAAAAATCTATTTAATTGGATGTTCGAGTTAAAGTTTCAAGAATTTAAAAACTTATGATAGGGAGCATTTTTCATTTAATAAAATTAAAAAAAAGAGTAAAAATAGACATTTGCAATCATTTCTGAATGATTGTTTATTTTTCAAATCACTTTTGGACTTTTGGTATAGTTGGAGTAAGTACGGTTCTCTTTTTATTTTATTTTTTAAATGAATTGTTTTTCCAAATAACTCGGTAATCTTGAGAATTTTGAAAGGAAAAAGTCGATTATAGGTTTAAGAATTCGTTTAAATTTTTTTCTTAAATCCTCGTTCATTGGACATATATTATTAAACGGAATTATAAATAAAACTAACGAAGGGCAAGAAAGTGTTTTCTTTTGGAAGTACGTATAACTCCACTTAATTAACATCAATATAAGTAAATTAGGTTCCATTTTTTTCATTGGTATTTACTGTATAATCCCATTTCATGTCATTAGTAGTCTCTTAATTTCGGCTTGACATTGATAAGAATTGAGTCCGGTTGTATTTGTACAAGCTAATTTCAATTCAACCTATAAAGTTCTTTAAAATCATTTATACACACCCCAATTTATCGTTATTCTATTTGGACCTCAAATATATATTTTTCTTAATTCTTGCAGGGTCGGTTTGTGAAAAGCCCAAATTCACCAGAGAGAGAGAGAGCTAGGATGAAGAGTTGATTTATCTAGAATTTTAGGATATTTTTCCCTTTTTATTTTTGGATATTTTCAGTTTTGTTACTTCTATTTCATTATTTTTCTTTTTAAAGTTATTCTGCCTTGTTACAATTAGAATAAAAGTACCGAGGAAGATAGACTAGTTAAGACAATGAATATGAAGCAGAATAGTTGAAATTTTTCATCTTCTCATGTTTGCTTTGTTTGTTTCCTTCTCTAGTTTCATTTGCACCTAGATAATGTTTTTCAGACAAAAAATCCAGTTCCGACATCTTTTATATATATATATATATATATATATATATAGTAGATTTTGCTATCAGTTAATATACTGTAATAACAATACATATTCCTAATTTATCAGCCTAATACAACAACAAATGAAATAATTGAATTGATCTAGACCAGAATGGCAAGTTGGTATAATAAACACCGACGATGTGTAGATTCTGAGAAACACTAGACGATATTATTAGGTCTATCGTAGATAACCTTATCTTTCATTTCTACAAGATCAAGTTCACAAAACTTTATCACGTTATCATACATTTCTATACAATTCACGAGATCAACAAGAGGCAAAAAAAATGAAAAAGGAAGAAGAGGTAAAGGATTGTAGAGCATCTACCTCAGTCCTCATTACATGTGATGATTGCAATACAACAAGGAATGAGTTTTAGAAAGATGTTACTTAATATACAGTTGAGAACATGGGCTGTGTTTAACACATTCAAATCCACAAAGATAAAGGTGAATTTTCAACCAGTTGTGAAAAAAAAACGGATAAGGGTCTGATTTGCCTCTTTACTATTATAAATAGGCCTTATTTACCATTCGTTTATGTTTTCTATCAAAAATATCTGTACAGTTATACATTAGGTTCATATTTACCCCTTACACGTTAAAATAGGTCACATTTGCATTTCGTTATACTTTAAGATCATATTTACTCCTATACTCTTCAAAAAGGGTTATATTTGCCCATTGTTATACTTTCTTGACATATTATCCTTACAATTATACCCTACATTTACCCTCATCCGATAGATCGCCATGTCCCACCTTTGTTTTCCTACATGGCACCTATTTGGATTTCTTTTTTTTTTTCTAATTTAAATATGGTCACCTATTTAAGATAATTTAACCCGCCCACCCAATTTAAATAAGACTTCATTAACTCCATTGTTGTGAAACTTTTTATAATTTACTTTGGTTACTGCAATAATTGTGAGTTGTATTAGATTAGTGATTTTGAGTTTAAAGTTATTGTTTGCCAATATGTTGCCGCTGCCATAACTATTGTATTTCACACAATCTTCATAAATTGTGTGAAATAATTAAATAAATCAATTAGAGATAACACTATAGTTTCGTTCACTAGTGCACTGTCCAAAATTTTCTCGCTCTCCGAAAAACATGAAGCTGACCCGGAGAAGAGAGATGGACGAGTGGGGGAGGGGGGGAGGGGATTGGGAATTATGATTTCCATTTATTTTAGTTAGTGTATCTTATTTAAATTGGGTGGGCAGGTTAAATTATCTTAAATAGGTGACCATATTTAAATTAGAAGAAAAAGAAATCCATATAGGCCCCATGTAGGAAAATAAAGGTGGGACATGGCGATCTACCGGATGAGGATAAATGTAGGGTATAATTGTAAGGATAAATATGTCAAGAAAGTATAACGAAAGGCAAATGTAACCCTTTTTGAAGAGTAGAAGGGTAAATATGATCCTAAAGTATAACGAAGGGCAAATGTAACCATTTTTAACGTGTAAGGAGTAAATATGAACCTAATGTATAACGGTAAAGATATTTTTGATAGAAAAATTAAACTGAGGGTAAATAAAGCGTATTTATGATAGTAAAGGGGCAAATCATACCCTTATCCGGAAAGAAAATCTTCTTCTCTCTATTCAAATTTTAATAGGTGGGTATAGTTATCCCGTACTTGTGCTAGTGGGAGGTTACGAATATTTGATAAAATTACTCGAGATACGCACAAATTGGCTAGACACCACTGTCATCGGAAAATCCCCTCGTCTAAGAAAAACCTATCTCTTAATTTGTAATTGCAAATATATCATATTCGAGGAGGCAGAGATCAAGCAATTTAAAGTTTGTTAACAATACAAATTTGTATTATATTTGACAAATCATTTTGTATTTGATTTCACTTCTAATGTTTATTAAGTGTCGTAATTCTTTTGAGAACTAGAACATGCTTGAACTTGTTTTAAACTAATCATTCAACAATCGTTTCCGCTTCAAGATCTTAATTCGTCAGATTTGAATCTTTGATTCGAAGAATCATATCTTATGAAAGACATAACAAGTCATATACTCTCATCACAAATTATCAAGAAGGTTAAAATAATTTTCTTAGAAATAATGCTTTTGTAAGGGCATTTTAGCAAATTATCGAAGAGAATATGTGATTGTAATGCAAAAGTATATATAGGGAAATTGTTACACAAAGCAATAGTGGTCCACTCAATAGTTGTAGCCTTTGTTTGTTCTTTTCCTCTGTATTCAGATACACCCCAATCTCTTCAGACACAGAGAGAAACCGTCTCTCATCAACAAATCTTAGCCTTATATCTTCCTCCATATACATCTCCCGTGACCACTGTACCTAAAACCCCTCTTTCTCTTTCTTTCTATATTTATACATATGCCAACCCTAAAACCCTTCTGAATTCCTTTATACCCTCATTTCCATTCTTAGATATTTCTCTACCAAAAGTCCCATTTTTCAAAGTGCTTTCTTGAATTCAGTGCTTCATCTTCTTCCTTAGCTCAATTCTTGGCCAAAGGGCAAATCCAAGCAAATTCTCTCTTTCTTGAGTTTTGACTTGATGATAGAGTGGTTTGTTTATCCATTGTCCATTTGTTTTGTTTGGTGAGTTGAAGCCAAATTTCTTTTTTAAATGTTAGAGTGAACTAGTGCTGCAAAAAGAAAATGCTTTGGAAAGTTTGGTTTATAGTGAAAAAGAGTGTACTTTTTAGGGTTTAAGAGTCTGTTATTGTACTATTTTGGTTTATGTCCTTACAAAAACATAGTACTTCTTTGGAAAACTTCACCAAAACCAATACAATTCTTGCCAATTGGTACTTTTTCTCTAGCTTCTTCTTTGTTCTTTCCCAATTTGGAAGTTCAGTTCTGATTTGCAGGCCTAAGAATTCACCTGATTTTTGAGAATTAAGTCTGAATTGCTTAATGGGGTTTTCAAGAATTCATCATTGAATTCCAAGATTTCAATTCTTGAATTTCTTCTCTGTTTTTCCCCTGTTTCTCTTTTAGCACAATGTCTTCTTGGTTAACGGGTGGTGGAAGGGCAGCTTATAAATTGGATTTAGATATTATAAAATCTCCATCTAATTCATGGACTTCACAATCATCTTCACCTTCTTCAACTCTTTCAGAATCTAGCAATTCTCCTATTGCTGTTTCCACTAGAAAACCTCGAACCCCTCGAAAAAGGCCTAATCAAACTTACAATGAAGCTGCAGCCCTTCTATCCACAGCCTATCCCAAAATATTCAACACAAAACACCTCACTAAGCCTTGGAAATTCCCAAAGCCACACTATCCCTTCTTATATGAATCCTCAGACTTAGTTGTGCCTTATAAAATGGTCGAAAATTCGGGGTATTTAATCCATCCACCATTGCTAGAAAAACCCAATTGCCCAATTGAGCAAAGGTCAGTGAGTTGTTGTGACAAACCATGCCAAAGTCCAGGGGAAATTGACTCCAAAGGGAGTAGTTTTTTAGAGGTTTGTGATGAATTTGAAGAAGATTTTGATGAAGAGTCAATTTTGGATGAGGAAATTGAAGAGGGTGTGATTGATAATATTATGGGGAAGCTAATTGTGGAGAAAGAACCATTGAATGAGTCCAATTTTAGTCATAGTTTTGGTAGTACTTGTTATGGTTTTCCAATAGGACTAGGATTTGAAAATGGATACCTCCAATATGATTTTGGCATGAGAAGTGGAGTGCGACCATTGAGAAATGTGGATGACGGGGATTGGTGGAAGTATCCTAGTGTAAATGTCATCGACATTACTCCAAAATTTAGCAAACCGCCGATACAAAAAAAGAAGAAGAAAAGCTCGAAACCATCATCAACAAAAGATAATTCGACTCCAAAAAGGACGAACAAGGACAATTCGAGTCAATCAACCAAAGAAGAGGTTAAAGTTCCAAAGCCAAAATCCGAGTTGCTCCTAAAATTGAACTACGACAACGTTTTGAACGCGTGGTACGATAAGGAGTCGCCGTTCTCCGATGAAATGCCGGGATCGGAGGCTGCCGGAAATGATGTCAGAGTATGTGTTTTTTCTTCTTCTTAATTCCATGAGATATTGAATCTAGGATTCTGCTATTTTATTTTAGTTAAAAGTAGCATACAAACTGCAACGTACTATTGGACCATGGCACGTGCATCTCACGCTTTTTTGCTTTAAATTATTTTTTAAGAAAAGCTTTTCTGCTTTTTAAACGCTTTTTCCTCTGTTAATATTCAAGTTCCGCTGTTGTTTTCCACTCTAATTTATTCTTTAAAAAGATTTTAGAAAAGTTCAATTTTTTTTCTATCCCTGTTAAATTATTCAACAGGTTAAATTATTATCATATTATTTATTATTCTTTCAAGTAGGTCACTAATTTGGTTCTATTATATCGAGTGTGTTTTAGTTACATACTTACATGTTTGCATCTTTCTTTTCTTAGAAGTATTTAAATATCAATAATGTATAGGAATATGACATATTTGTCCTCAAAATTCTGATTTTTAAATATTAATAATGGTTTAATATTGGATGCAGGCCAGATTGGCACAAATAGACCTATTCTCAGAGAATGGAGGCGTGAGAGAGGCTGGTGTGTTACGTTACAAAGAAAAACGACGTACACGTTTGATCTTTAAAAAGAATTTCACCAACTTAGAAAATCCGATCGATAATGCATAATGAAGGTACCATTATTATAAAATAATTTATCTATAGACATGAATAATTTAAAAATATTCGCACTATCAATGTTACTTGTCGTGATGGGTTGCTTGCTTTATTTTTTAAAATATTTTATTTATTTTTAATAATTACATATACTTTGATATTTATAAAAAGCTCTAAATCTATAAATAGTTGTTGATTTTTTTGTCTGTGTTTTGACCGCTATAATTAAAAAATGATAAAGTTAAACTCTTACCTCAATCATTGGGTAGCACACTTAAAATGAGATTGTGGGGGATCTATAAATCATATAAAGACCTTTAAAAGTTTTCTGCCTGTGAATGATTGTTTTAACTTTTTCTCAGTTCACTTTTTGTTTTGTGTTCTTTTTCTTCTTTTAAAAAAAATAGAACTAAATTTCAATTACTCTATCGAAGTCTAGAAAATTCTGAAAGAAAAAAAAAAGGTCAATTTTATAATTAGGGGTTAGTTACAAATTTCTTATTAATTCATTGGCCGTATGTCGTTAAATAAATCAATTTATGTAGGGGAAAGAAAATGTTTTCTTTTATAAGTACGTATAGCTCCACTTAATTAACAACTCTATGAGTAAATTAGGTTCTTTTTTCAATGGATTCATTGTATAATCCAAGTTGTACTTATACAAGCTTATAATTTCAATTCATCCTATGAAGTTCTTCAAAATCTTTATATTTCTTTATACACCCCTCATTTATCTTTATTCTGTTTGGAACCTCAAATATCTATATTTATTTATTTTTGCAGGGTATTTTTGTGAAAAGACCAAATTCGCCAGAGAATGAGCTAGGATGAACAAGAACAAGTTTTGTTTGATACTAGAGTATGATTTTTCTAGCATTCTTAGGATCGTTTTACCTTTTGTTTTTTGGGTATTTGCAGTTTTGTTTCTCTAATTTCAGGTTTTTTCTTTTTAAATTTCTTTTGTCTTGTTAAATTGATAATAAAGTACCAAGGAAGATAGACTAGTTAAGACAAGCAATATGAAGCAGAATAGTTGAACTTTTTCTTCCTTTTCCTGTTGTTTTTATTTTATTTTTTCTTCTCTAATTACATTTGCACCAAGCTATATGAAATAATACTTTTTACTACAACACAAGTAAATTGTTACTACTAAATGGTTGTGAAACGATGAATAAGAAATTTCTTTTCTCATTAAAAATTTCGATTTCGAGCATTGAAAATAAAAGGGAGTGCTTCCTTTTTTAATGAGTTTGGCATGGTGTGGGTGGAAAAAACATAAAGGAGAGTAAATTATCAGGTCAACTTGAAGTTCTCGCTCATTTGTTTGCTCTTATAATTAATGAGAATTAACACGTATTTATGTACCAATCTATACTTACTTTAAAGTTAACAAAGTCCTACAATTTCGAGCTCAAGGGTAACCAAGCTATAGAGTGTGCCCCTTTAAAGTTTAAAATAATAATATGTAGACTTGTACCTTCTGTCTCACTTTTCTGGCTTTTGTGGTTGATATTACTTGTTAGTGTTTCGTCTTTTGGAGCCGAGGATCTATCGGAAATGACATTTTTATCCTAAGGGTAGGGATAAGACCCGTGTACATATTATCCTCTTAAAAATGACACGAGGTAACCACTTTAAAAGGTTGCTATTTAAAAATTAGTCAGTGCATCCTAAATTTTAGTTTTTCAGTTCTAATTTTTAGGACAAAAATATCCTGAATTGTCTTGAAGTTAAGATTTTTAGTTTAAAATTTTAGGACAATAAATAATCGTTAATCTCTAAATAGCATCCCTGAGAATGACTATATATACACTTGCCCCCATTATCCTCCTCAGACCCTACTCGTGAGACCCCACTAAGTTTGTTGTTGTTATACCTTCGGCCCCAATATCTTTTCTGTTGGTTCGTAAAATAATTTTTTCATTATTGAACAATAAATTCATAATAAATCACTTAAGAGAAGAAATAAATTTTAACTAAAAATGAAGAAATATATTATTATTAGTTGGCAGAGCAATTTGTTTCATAAATAACTCTATACCAGCTACTAGGGGTGTACATGTTATTGGGTTGGTTCAGGTTTTTTATTTATCAAAATAAATCAATTGTGCCGATTTTCTAATTCTATAAACCAAACCAACAAAACTCGGGTCTTTTCAATCTCGATTTCTATCATTTTTTCAGTTTTCTTGATTCTTTTTTTTCCGGTCTCCATAGGAGGGGATATACAAAGGAAACCGACGAACCGTACTAATCCGATAATTCGAGTTAAACCGAAAATAAAAGAAAACCCGACTATGGTTTGGTTTGATGTTAAGAAAAAAATTCGACCATAATTGGTTTGGTTTGATTTTAACTAAAAATAAAACTCAAAACCAAATCAACCCAACATTACATGATGTATACAAGTTTTAAAAATATTTATTGTAATGTAATTTATAAATATTTTTAAAACTTTTTCATAGTTTTCTCTTTTAATGTATTATTTCAAGCTTAAACTTAAAATTTTTGAACGGTCAAATATATTTTATAACCCATAAAAGTTAGTAACTCAAATACTATTGTCATTCCTAGCATTCAATACTAATGCTAACAAAAAATAATCAATTAAATGCTAGGAATGACAATAGTATTGGATATTTATTTTTTTTAGTTTTGCATTGGTTTAGATAGTGAAAATGCATAACTTATTTTTATTATTATTTAGTCATGTAATTAATACTTAGTACTTATTAGTCGTACTTATTTTAACATGATTTAGTACTATTAGATTATGTTTATTTATATTATGGCTTATTAATTAGCAACATTTATTTTATGCGACTTGTTGGGTATTTTAGTATAATATCATGACTCATCTCACATTATTTTATATTATTTTCTTGGATAACATCTTATATAGTTTTATCCTATTAGGACCTAAGAAATATTAAAGTACAAATTATATATTTTATACTATGAAGATTTTATCGGAAAAAATTCGAAAAGTCGAGATTGAAAAATCCGAATTTTCTTGATTTGGTTTGATTTATAGATTAAAAATTAGAAACAATTGATTTGGTTTGGTAATTCAAAAATCCGAGCCAACCTAACATATGTACATCCTTATTGCATAGCATAAAACATGTAACTAGTACTCCAAAGTCCAAATATTTTTTCTTTCCTAGTAAAATACAACGATTATATGGTGCAAATAACACTAAAGGTGAGATGAATCATGGTATTGTATTAAAATATAGTGTCACCAATAATAAAGACAATAAAATTCCATTAACAAGTACTGCTAATAAGTTGTGAATTGAATCATTATTTAGCATCGATTTTGATTAGGTTTTAGTTTGGACTTTATCTGACTTACTGCCTAGACACTGATGGGCTACTCATAAATTTATTGGATTATTCAAAAATTTTAAGTCCGAATCTGAAATATTATGTTAAAATAGAAACTGTAAAAAAATTTAAAAAATATTTATAAATTACCTTATAATAAATATTTTTATGTATAGCATATTTGCAAAGATTCTATACATGTAATGATTTAGGTTTGACTTTTTTTAATTAATATTGAACCAAACCAATAACGATTGGATTTTTTTCTTCAATATCAAACTAAATTAAATTTTCCGAACTCAAATTGCCGGTTTGGTGCGATTTATCAATTTTCTATTTACATCTCAACTTTCTGTGGGTATTATTACTTGTAACCCGCGCTAAAAACTATTTATATTTGGTAGCTGAAAAAATATATAAAACTTATATAATTTTTGTATATAACATACCGAATGTGTATATATATATAAATTTTATATATTTTTTCGACTATTATTTTTACAACAACTATACAGTGTCATTTTTTCAACTTTCTGCAAAGGGAGTCCAAACCCATTAACATAGTTTTAAGGGTACAACGAGCTAGGATTCTAGGCGTGTGTATGGTATAACAGAAAGCCAGAAACTCTAGTTGTATTGAAAATGATTATGTTGTTGAAAAAAAAGAAAGAAAACGCTTATTCCATACGTGCTAGAAGTTATATTCTTCCTTTTGACGAAAAACTAGTAATCAAACACCATAAAATAACTTTCTCATAATATATTTTTTTTTTCTGAAAATGACTTGTTATACTAATAAATACATCCTAAACAAAAATTACCACTCGTTTTCTTTTCGAACATAAGAAAACGAATTAAGGGCTCGTTATTAGTATAATATCATAGGTACACCTAGAAAATAGATCCGTTTTGATGAAAAACTGGTGATCCACTATTAAAAATGACTATCGCATATGAAAATAATTTCTTATTATATCAAGCACACCCTAAGCAGAGAACACCACTCATCGTTTTTCCAGCCGTAATAACAATATCTACTTATCTAGGATTAAGTGCTTTTTTATTAGTATAATATCATATGGTACGGTACACCACAGGGTAAAAAACGCTGTATTATTCTATAATCTTTTTAAGTTTAAAAAGTTCAGGCTAGTAACTCAGCTGTACACAAACTATGATAGTATTTCTAATTTTTTAGCAACCATATTATTTTCTAATTATTTAGCAACCATATTATAGTTCCTCGTTTTAGCTTCCTACGAAAGGTAACTTATTCCTAGTGGGATGCTGCATTACTAATGTCACCATATGGACAAGAGATAAAAGTATACTTCAAATTTTAGATAGATTAATCTATCACAAAATAAAACAGACTTCAAAACTAAGTAGTTTTTCATGGATACGAGACTCCGAATTTATTTTAATAAATAGGCATACATAAAACTGCAAATTCATAATTCGCAAAAAAAAGGTAGCCCGGTACACTAAATTCCCGCTATGCGCGGGGTCCGAGGAAGGGCCGAACCACAAGAGTTTATTATACGCCGCCTTACCCTATATTTCTGCGAGAGGCTGTTTTCACGGCTCGAACCCGTGACCTCCCGGTCATACGACAACAACTTTACCAGTTACGCCAAAGCTCCCCTTCCAACTTTACCAGTCATAATTCGCAAGAATCGCAATATTGATGGATGACCATAGTTGGATCTAAAGCTATGCATAATGCTTCTAATAATTCTACAGGTGGAGATAATATGAAAGGCCTTTTGATATGTGAAGCACTGTCCTTAACTTTCTCAGGAAAGGCTAAATAACAAATATGTTGTCTCAACACAGTTTTCATTATTGTTGAAAATTGAAACTTGTTTTAAGGCTTCATAGAATTCTGAAACTGGCCATCTACCTGTTACCTCATAACCATAGATTTGAATATGGAAATCCTCGTTGCATTCATGGATAACCCTAAAACTTTCTTCATACACTTGCTTTGACATTGGAGTAAACGAAAGGTTTACGCAGTTTTCTGTGTTTACCAAGAACCTTTCGCCTATCTTTTTGTCTATCCATGCAATAGTCGGTGAGACGAATATAGAGAGGACAATTATGATAGTGATGAGAGTGAATTTTTGAGCTTCCATCTTTTCAGTTTCACAATACGAAAAAATTTAACTAGAAGAAAAAAACTCGTATAACACCACTACGAAAGAATGTGGTTAAAAAATTTAACTAGAAGAAAAAAACTCTGTATAACACCAGGGGCGGAGCTACAGTAGTGAGTGCGGGTTCGGGCAAACCCAGTGACTTTTTACGGAATCCTGTATTTGTATTGAAATATTTATTAAATCTATATAAATATATACTGCCGAACCTAGTAACAAAAGGGGTTTTGGTTCAATGGCAAGGGTTGTGGGTTCGCTGGGAAAGATGGGGGTTCAATTCTCGTTGAAAGCAGTGTTTTATTTTAAAATTTAGAACCCACATACTTAAATCCCTAGCTCCGCCTCATTGTAACACCACTACGAAAGAATGTGGTTGCTGAATGGAGATATTCCTAATTGGGAACGGCAGGGATAATGATGTGTTAGTATTGTTGTTTTAGTCAGATTTTATAACCTTTTGAGTAATTCAAGGTAAAGTTGGACTAGGATTCTTCTTTACCAATTTTGATACAAAAACAACTCGTAGTACTAAATAGTATATATATTACGTATCCGTTGCA